TGCAATTAAGATGCAACACCCCAAAGTTTATTCTTGTGTTTTCAATCCATCCTGAAATTCTAGTCTCAAACACCAAACGATTTAACAACAAAATCAATAAAAAGTCTTCTTCCAGTACTTTAAACAAATTGTTGTACATCTGCATGTTTTAATGTTATTTTGGAATGATAAAAACTAACCCAGACTGCAAAGCAGCTCACATTTTTGGGCAGTGTCAGCACTTCATTGCTTTGCTTCCAGCCTAATCAAGTTGCTGTGCTATTTAATGTGCTTACTCTGATCTGGTGAGCATGTCTCCACGGTGGCAACGTGCTCCCTTGGAAGGCTGGTGCTTCAAGAATGTGATTGATGCAATCACTGGCTCTCAAAGTCCAGTGTACCTATTGATACTGAACTACCAGGCAAGCGCACCTTCCGCCTCATTAAAAGCTAGGCAAATTAACAATTGTTTTCTAACATGCCCAAAATTAAGAGCTCCCAAGTTTTTTACTTTGGGGGCCCTCCCGCTGCAATGGAAAACCTCTGCAAGTATCTACTGGCACAGGCAACCCCTCCTATTAAGACTCGAGAGAAAAGACTGGGATCAAAGGCCCCCGAGCCTACCACCCAAACAAGGTGTTTAAAAAAATAAAAAGCCTGTTTAAGAGCAAACTGCGAGAGGTCTGGCACACTGAGATTTAGAAGTTACTGAAGTTTAGACAAACATGCTATAGTGAGATTTTCTATTTTGGTTTTGCCCAATTGTAATAAATCATCAGATTGTTAAGTCATTGCAGTACTCAAAGAAAACGAACAGCCACGCATTTTGCAGAACAGTTGTTAGAAGAGCCTGAAAACTCAATTTGTGAGATCTCAATTAAACCATCTTTATTTAGGAATCCCTGAAATTCTCTAGCATGTAACTCCCAGAGGCTCGGCTTAATTAGAAAATTGATCATGGGAAAACTTCTTAAAATGTAGGCTCCTAATCATAGCCTTCCTGTTATCACCTTTTGCCAAAGATCTATTGCTCACAGGGAGTTGTTTCTCCTTCCCCCTTTAGCCCTATATTATTCCACTTGCAATATTTTTAACCTGTAAATAATTACAGAGAGTAAAGGTAACTTAAATGCACTGTAATGGAAGCTATTAAGAAAAATTTGATTGGAGGCAGAAAATACAGCAAAAGTGAAAGCCGCTGTAAAACCGCATGGAGATGACACTCGCATCTACGCGTGCTGCTGAAACATACTAATTATGCCTCTGGCAAAGGGCATACGGGCTCCTTCAAAGAAGCTATTTAAAGATAAGAACACTGTAGACAAACACTTCAGAGATATCTGCGCTATTCCCTTCCTTTTTGTGTTCGAAATTCTAGGTCACAATTTAATAATAATAAAATAAATTTTTTTAAAAAAAAAAAGTATTTTAAAATAATAGAAAGCAGGGGAGCCTTGCCAAGTCTGGTCAGTTAGATGTATTCCAGGGTGCTCAGATATTCATCAACTGTTACAGCTTTTTCATTCTGCTCCACTTACCTTTTAAGAAGTAATTAGTACATTGTATTATCAAACCAAGAGTTCAAAAAACAAACTAATTAAAAATATGTCTAAAGCCCCTAGTATTCTGGATAACAAAACCAAGCAGATCATCTTGGTTAAATTATCTCCCTTTGAAATTACAGGATGCTAAAAAAAGTAAATAAAATTATTTGAATCATTAGATTTTCTGACACATAGCAGGCGGCCACGTAAATGGGACTTCTTTTCCTGAGTATGGGACCTTACACACATTAAGTGCCTTTCTTCCACATTGTTGCATGATAGTACTGCTCCATCACTCACAGAATTCAGCTGCTGCCGCTTAAAATAAACCCCCCAGCATACTGAAGAGTGAACTCATAGTGATGACGGGATTTTTTAATTTCTCTGTTTAAAAACAGAAAATGAAAGTACACGCTGACATGGTGCAACAAATTTACACTGTGCTTCTGACACTGCTGCTGGGTGTGGTGGGACAAGGACAAACACCCAAAGAGCTGTTTTTCCACCAGTCCTGGAGAAGACTCCCTTGCCGAAGAAAAGCTTTGATCATGAATGCAGGGACTATATCATCAGAGCATTTTGAAGGACTAGGACCTAAGGGAGTCCCAACTTAAAAAAAAAAAAAAAAAAAAAAAATTAAAAAATTACACAAACATGGGGATTTACTGTCCTGGATCTGATCACTACTACACTTATCACACTACTTTGAAACAGTTTTCAAAGTGCTGAACTTACACCCTGTGAGTGTGCTGTTATTTCCATTTAATTGTATGTCGAATTTCATCATGAAAGTGCAAACAGCCAGGGCTGGACAGACATATCTGGACAGAAGTCAGAACAACCACATGTCCCACCATGCAAGCAATTTTGAATTCCTCAATACTTTAATAAATAATAGCACAAAGGTTCAAAACAAAAAAAAACCCCTTCCAAAAAAAATCAGAAGTCTTCCCTATGCAGGGTTTAAGTAAGCTGCTGGCTCTTCCCTCTCCAAGCTCACCGGGTACCACCAGAAGAGCAGCACCAAACCAAATCTGCCAGTGCCCTTGAAGGCCACTTGTGGGACCTTTCTGGAGCTGGACATAACACTGGGCTGCTACATGAACTCCTTGCAAGCATATTAAGAACCAGCTTCTACCTCCTTTTTCCCAATGGGCACATCAAAAGAGACAACCACCTGGAGCTAAACCTCCCAAGGGACCAAATGGGCACAATCTCAGGCAGCCAGGATCTCCTGAAGGACACAGCAGTTCAGACACTGAAGCCAGAACCATGCTAATACTGATCTCAACAACCCCACTCTTTCTCCCTCCGAGCCACAGCCACTCTCCTGCTCCTCCACAGAAATGCATCCAGGTAGCAGATGTCCAAGAAGATTTCTGCCCCTGGTTTTACTGGCTCTTTTCAGGCTTTATACAGGGTTGATGGAGCAAAAAGCTTGTGGAGGTGCTGAAACAGTGAGCTGACAGCTTCCCCTTTCTGCTTTTCTTCAGCCTGTTTAAGCAGACCAAGAACATGCCATGTGTGGCACTCAGAGCAGATTTTCCCTTGTGGTTTTTAATATAACTGTAATTTGGATCTTGCCATCTGAACGCACGTGTTGTCTGAAATATCTAAGTACTCCTACATACTGAAGAAATTAGGAATGAATTGCAAGTTCTTAATTGACAGTACAAAACATCAATTATTCTACAGGTGAATAACAAAGAGAAAATTACAGGTGCAAGAGCTAAACAGCCACTGATTAAAATAAAAAAAAACCAACAAACCTTCTGAATGAAGCACTGGAATAGGACAAAAGTACCCGTGCTTCCCATTTGCATTGTTAAAGCAGAATGCTGAGAGACAGTAGGAAATAAAAATGGAGGTAAGTCACATCCCCACACAGGTTGCCTTTCTTTAAGTGCAAGTGCCTTCAAAGCTATAAATAACACATGCTTAGTTAGCAAGCAGTGGAAACAAGCGTGTGAATGCAGTCATGTGTGCTCACACACACACACACACCCCCCATCTGAATTTTCCCACCAACAACTGTGGCAGTTGGCCCAGATCACAGCAGTGACATGCTGCCAACAGACTGATCAACCTCACAGCAGACTAAATCTGAAATACATTTCCACAGATTAAATTTCAGAGGACTGTGATGCCACTTTAAACTCCATTAGATTCTGCTCTTCACAATCCTTTAAACAAACACAAAAACTAGCAAACCACCCTCCTCCATCCCCTCCACCCACCTGCTTTACCAGAAGCCCCAATAGGATGGAGGCTCCGTATTGGTCCAGAGTCAAGACAGATAAATTAGCAACCAGTCTAAAACTACCATTAGCCTAAAATCTCATGGAAGAGAAGGAAAAAGAAATCAAACCATGCTGCATTAAGGTGAGAAAGTCTCAGCAGAACCAGTGCTGCTCGCAGATGCAACAGAGACCTCAGAACTGGAAAGGGAAACTCAAACACAAGCTCTGAAGAATTCAATCCACTAAGACCTTTGCAGGCAAGCCCTATCTGTAACAAATGCACACCCTTTCAGCCAGTAATGGGACAAAACAACAGCAAGAGGCATCATTCCAGCACATCAAGGATGGAGCAGTGACTAGCTAAGGAGACAGGGGCACACCTGCCAAAAGAGAAACATACCACAATAGCTAAATCAACAACTGGGAGATTAAACTGAAAGATGTGATCTTCAATACATGACTTGGGACACAGGGCCATGGAAAGTCCCATGAAAAATGACCGCTCGGGTAAGGTCTCCTTCTTTAGCTTAATCTGCACAGTCAGCTGTATCTCACACTAAGGTCCCCAAGTCTGACATGCAGGCTCGCAGACACACACCAGTGATCCCAGACTCGCACCGTACAGTTCCAGCCCGGCTCAGGCACCTGTTACTGTGAGATAATTTGGGTATCGCGCTGTACAACTTCAGATGCCTTGTCTGCACTTGGGGTGCAGAGTGGAGGAGCTCACCTGTTGTAATGATCACCACAGGAACACTCCAGCTCCCGGGGCAGCTAAGAACAACAGAAACCCCTCCACCCACCGTCAGATGAAAAGCCTCACTCAGATTGAACAACAAAGGACAGTGAGTAGGTAGAGAAGGGGAATTTCCAACCAGATTTCTCCTCTTGCAGGAACAAGTACTCAGGCAAGTTAAGCGCTTCTTCAGTTTATAGTCAGACAAAACAAAGGAGGATGGGGAGGACTTAAAAGAGCTAGACAAAAACCCATTCAGGATAACAGAGTGCTAAGCATAAAAGAAATTTCCTTTTGCGCTATTACTGGCCTCATTTTATGGTCTTTACAACCATGAACTCAAATGCTCCTGCTGCAGATACAGTCAAACTGCTGAGAGTTGAAATGCACACAATATATTCAAGTATAGCACCAGTACATTTGTCTAGCTGCTACTCAGTGTGCGGTGCTACAGCTCGTTCTTTGAATGAGACTGTCCCCCTAGGCTGCTGCAAGACTCCTACCTCGAAGACAGAGGAAAGTGAGAAAGTCTTCTGTCTTGGGCTTCCTTTTGGAGAGGTCAGAAATCTGAGTGGCGGGAGGGGGTAACAACGGCTCCACTATCTTTATTGGAGTTGTGCTGGGACTGTTTGGCTGGGACTGAGCAAACTTCCTTTGTGCTTGCAGCCTTGGCCTGTGGAAACAAGAGCATATCAGAAGCACGTTAGGCAGAACTTGCAGGAGAGACATCAGAACATAAAAATTCATCATTTGGGGGAAAAAAGAAAAAAAAAAAAAGAGAGAGAAAGATCTGAATCCATCTCCCACCAGTGTTATATCCCTACCTGAGTCAACTGTGAAGGCAGTATTTTATTTGCTTTACCCTTTCGCATCCTCAGCCACAAGTTGGAAAACCAGAAAGGGAACATCTTGACTATAAAATCTGTGACTACTATTTCATATGTTCCGAGTATTTTCTTGCACATCATATAATTACAGTTTACCATTCACTTATTTGGAAATTAAATCTGTATTTTGCACCACAAAAATGTCTTTTTTTTTTAAAAGTGTTAGTGTTCTTTGCTTCTTGTTTTTAATTAATTTACAAATTAGGTTTATTTTAGCCCCATTAAGGTTTTAATTTATTCCAATCTGCTAGAATCTTATTTAATGGTAAAATATATATTAATAGACAAGGTACCTATGTTAGTGCCTAGTTCTACAAAAAACAAATCAAAACCTTTAGGAAAAGATATTTTTGACAGGGAAAATATCAGGTAAAAGCCATTAGATTTTTGTTCCCTTGGCCACAGCCTAGAGGACAGTGAGCAAGGAGGTCGAGGGTGGGGTTAAGTAGTAGTTGTGACAAATTTGTAAGAATGAAGGACATGCATGGAGTCAATTTGTCTCAGTTCTGGTACTGGGCAATGGACTGACATTCTCTGATAAGTTTTAGAGCATGCCCGGGTACGGCTGTAGGAAATGAACGGATGCAGGTGGTTCTGGCAGTCAGGCTGCAAATTATTCCAAGCCTATCTGAAGGCTCTGATTAACTGCTAGGTGGCAATGAATATGATTTTCTTTAATATGTCTAGAACTCAAATTGGTATCAGTGAAAGCGCTTTGGGGCAGGACAGATACCCAGAGGGGGTCTCGCTGGGAACCTGGCTCGTCTCAGCATTTAAGAACATGCTAATTTCTCACTTAAGCAACTGGGATTCTAATTATGATCTTTATTACAGCTTCAAAAAGGAGAGAAGCTACTGAAAGAACTTAAAACCTCCCTGCGAAAGGATGCAATTTTATGTCATTTTCTTCCATAATAGCGGAGTATTTACATAATGTCAAACTGAAACACGTATCAAATAACACAGAAGGAAAAGCCAGGTCTTGTCACTCCGTGGCAGGCTTGACTGTTATGACTCAAGGAAAGCACAGTTATCATTCAGTGTGGATGAAACACGTAATTGGCAAACCTCTTCTTTTTCACGGATATTAAACTTAAATAGTTGGGTAAGAAGAGATTTGTTACTGTATTTTAAACTTCCGCAATTTTGTGGCTAAAATAGAAAAAAAAATTGAAAATCCCAGTAGTGTTTGTATATGTATAGACATGTCCCCTAATGACAACAGAGAACAAAAGTAACATTCAGCAATTTTCTCCCTAAACTCTGCATAAAATTGTCCATGTCCTCACTATCCAACCCCCACCTCCCAAAATAACAAAAAATACCAGCCATTCTTACTGCTTATTTTCATCTCCTTAATGGCAAACATAACATGGTGTTTATAATTTTTTTTATCATGGTACTTACAATTTGTGAAATAGAACTGAAAGACTATTGAACACATATATTTCCTCATATATATGAACAATTATCTTTCCAGAATGAAGGTCTTGTATAGATCTGCCTGTATATCCCCAAAATTACTCAGATTGCCTTGCAAAGCCCATCTGCTTGAAGTAATAGGAGGACTCCCGCACAGGATGAATGGGATTTTAATTTCAACCAAGTATATTTCTATCACCAAAACCACACATGCAGCCAGAGAAAAATGCTTTGTGTTGGCTTCTGTTCTGCACAAAACGTACATTTTCTCGCCAAAAACCAGACTATAAAGGTTAGCAAGCAACCCTGCCTGCTGCTCTCATCTGCACAGCGATTTTTCCTCATCGATGTGCTTCCTCAGCTGGCCTGTTAAAAACATACACTCTCCACTCACCGCATCTCTGAAACTACCCGCTCAAATCTCATGTGATCAAAGATAAGCAGCGGGGAGGACTCCACACACTGCCCCCCAACCAAAAGTAAAGATTAAGCCTGTTTCATGGTTCAAAATTAACCCTTTGCAGCAAGGATCAGCCAGGGCTGTTCGCAGCATCCCTATTATCAGTCCCTAGAGCACTGAAAGAGGATTAGGGAATGACTTGTAAGTTCGGCATAGACCTGAAATGAATTAGGGAATTGAAAGTACTTTTGGTTCGGTCTGTCTTTGAAAATACGTTCTCCGCTAGCTGTCCTTCCCCGGTACAAACAATTCCATGCTTGTTTTGCTTGCCTGCTTCCCGCGAGGCACACGGCCTGGCCTGGCAGTGTCACCAGCTCTTCACTAACCACCATGCTCCTGCGGAGGCCCTTCGTTTTAGCGAGGACAGTGAAAATGCCAGATCTTCCCTCCACCCAACTTCAGGCTATGACTGTGAACTTTTGCCGCTTCCCCGAGGAGGCTGCGGAGACTTGCTGCTATATGGTCTGATGTGTCTGAGACGCTCCTCCTCTCACACCTCTGTTGATGTTTGCTATACTTCCTCCTGCTTGGTTTGAGCTCACCAGTGCCGCAAAAACAGGCCTGCTCTTCATGAAATATCCATTTCTTATTAAAACCCTGAGCAGTTACAGGGCATAAGCATCACCAATTCGATTTATGAATGCTAGTGAATAAAGGCACCCTTTTGTGACCACAGCATTCTTTAGGTTTCTGCAACAACTACTGTTCTTTGCATGGATAGGCACGTGCTCCAAAGGCTTCTACTTCAACGCCTGAGGTTGTACAGAGTGAGCCCTGAGCAAGCTGTAGCTACAATACGTTGGGGATGAGGCATCAAGGTTAGGAAACAAAAGCCAAGCTTTTAAGCAGCCTTTGCTCCAGGTTTATGTAAAGATGACCAGTTTCAAAGGTGGGCCAGCAAAGGAAAAACATACACATTTCAAAACATGGGCAACAACTTAAAACTGTTTCCTTGTGAAGCACTGTATGCATCTTGATAACCTCATATGTCCTCATGAAAATCTCTAGAAGCATAAAACCAATTATTTCGGGTACAGTTCCACATTACACTTAATCCAAGCTGCTGCCAAAAAAGGAGGTACCCCCCCTCCACTACAGTTACATCAGATGGAGCATACCAGCCCGTCATACTCACTTACGCACTACTTCTGAGCAAGGCAGAATAGGTAAGGAAGTAATAAAAGTGCTCAGAAAGACATTTTGTGTATGTGATGTTGTCTACCTAGACTTTAGTAAAGCCTTTGACTCCATTTCCCACAGCATTCTCCTGGAGAAACTGGCTGCTCATGGCTTGGACGGGCATACTCTTCGCTGGGTGGAAAACTGGCTGGATGGCCAGGCCCAAAGTGTTGTGGTGAATGGAGTCGGTGGCTGGTCACAAGTGGTGTTCCCCAGGGCTCAGTGTTGGGGCCAGTTCTGTTTAATATCTTTATCAATGATCTGGATGAGGGAGATCGAATGCACCCTCAGTCAGTTTGCAGACGACACCAAGTTGGGCGGGAGTGTTGATCTGCTTGAAGGTAGGAAGGCTCTGCGCAGAGGGACCTGGACAGGCTGGATCGATGGGCTGAGGCCAACTGTATGAGGTTCAAAAGGCCAAGTGCCAGGTCCTGCACTTGGGCCACAACAACCCCATGCAATGCTACAGGCTTGGGGCAGAGTGGCTTAGAAAGCTGCCCGGCAGAAAAGGACCTGTGGGTGTTGGTCGACAGCCGGATGAATATGAACCCGCAATGTGCCCAGGTGGCCAAGAAGGCCAACGGCATCCTGGCCTGTA